AAATCAACATTAGTAAGCACGACTAATCATTTAATAGAGTGCGGAATTAATATCGCACTAGTCACGTGATTTCATAGACCCTAGGTCTAAATACGAACTTAAACTTCGTATTTAATCACGTGACTAAAGGTTTAATATAAACCTTTAGAGGGCGATATTCCACACTTATAAATCGCGCATTCTAGATAGTTCGATTACTACCACTTACTATCTATATAAGCACACTCTTCTCTTCTTAATAGATAGTTATCTTTCTATTCTAAGTCTATAATTAATTAATTATCTATTTATTAGATTACGATCTATACGCTCTATTTAAGCTATCTCTTTACTATTCTATAATGTCGAGTCGAATTAACTGAAATACAATCGAATCGCTTCCTATCGATACCGATAACCCTCTTTATAATTACATTAAACGAACTTTACTACCTTATAAAGAAGACGAAGAACGTAAAGTTCGTGTTAATTGTTAGCATTGTGATTATACTACGACTATTCCTGCCTATAGATATACGAATACTAGTAACTACTGGGTTTATCTAAAGGCTAAGCATAAACGAATATATCGCGATTTAAAGGAGACCACTACTAGTACTATACTTAGTTCTAGTAGAGCTTCTAGCGATATAGTCTTAACTACTCCTAGCGATAACTTTACTATTTCTACTATAACGCCTTTTACAATTTCTCAACAGTTTACACCAATAACCTCGAGCGAATTACGACGTTTACTAGTTAACTTTACTATCGATAATAATCTATCTTTCCGAGTTGCAACTTCAACTAGTCTATAATCGATATTTAAGCGAATTAATAGTAAAGTTCCTACTATTAATAAACGATAATTTACTCAGGAAATCGATCTATACTATACTGAGCAGCTTGAGACTTTTAAGCGATCTTTAGCTCTATTTAAAGCGCAAACTGACGGCTCTTTTACTTTATGTGTCGATAGTTGGACAACTAAGTCACAACACGCTTTTCTAGGCGTTACTATTCACTATATCGATATAAACTGGCAACTAAAGTCTTATACTTTAAGACTAATCGATCTTAAACGACGTCATACCGATGAATATATGGGGTCTCAGTTATTTAAGACTCTTAAAAGTCTCGAAATCGAACGAGATATTCTTACTATTACTCGCGATAACGCCTATAATAACGATACTATGATCGAATATCTAGATAATAAGATATTAGATCTAGATCCTCCTCGGAAGTGGATATTAACCTTAAGCGGAATTCGATGTTTAGCGTATATCTTTAATCTCGTTATTTAAGATATTTTAAGCGCTATTAAAGCTACTACAATATAAATAGAGCTATTGTCGCTTACTTAAGATACTTAGAAGAATATTACTACTATAAATTAAGAAGATACTACTAAAATATCACAAAGTACTAGTAATAGTACTTAAAATCGAAGTCGAAAAAGACAACGATAAAATACTTAAGGAGATACTAATATTACTACTAATATAACTATTAAATCGGCCTCTTCGAATATAATATAAAAGGTTCGAAAGACTATTTTATTACTTCGATTACATTAAAATCTAATATTCGCTCTATCTACTGCGATAAAGATTACTAAGTTACGAGACGAAAGACCTTCTATCGATATCCTTACTCGCTGGAATTTAACCTATAAGATGTTAAAGAAGTTCTTACGACTTAGATCGGCTATAGATATAGTTCGATCATAATATCCTAAGGAGTTTAAAGGTCTCGAACTATCCGAACTCGAATATATTTATCTACGCGAGATTTAAGATTTACTAATAGAATTCGATACTATTTCGACTGAATTACAAAAGGAAAAGAATATTACTTTATCTTATTTAACTCTTTATATCTATCGACTTTATACAAAGTTAAACGAGATTCAATCTAATACTAGTTATAGCGATCTTAAGGACGCTATTACTTAAGGACTAACGAAATTTATAAAATGGATTCCTATCGAGAATATTACGCAAAATCACGATTTCGACGCTCATTTATTTACTACTATTCTAGATTCTAGAATAAAAACGCTAGCGATTCAACGATACTTTCCAAAGCTAAAAGACGATATTATATCTCGCTTTAAACGACGATTTGAGCGCTATGAAGGTTCTTCTATATTCTTTGCTCCTTTAACTAAAGAAGAAGAGATAGAGTTAAATAATTCACAAAATCCTAAGATTAGTGAATTAGTTATTTCTGATCTTCTAGAGGACGAGGATAACGATATAACTAATATTCTATCTAAATTTTAAGTTTATATCGCTGAAGAACGATCTAGTTAAGAGATAAATCCTCTAATTTACTAGAGAGACTCTCGATTTATTCATCTTAAGCGAATGGCTAGAGATTATCTCGCTATAATGGCTACTTCAGCGCCGGTAGAACGACTATTTTCTAAGGCATTAAATATCGCAAATCCTAGGTATCGAAATCGATTAACTAAGGCTAGAATTAATCAAATTATATGTCTAAGGTCGTGGAAAGAACTACCTATTCCTATTAGCGAGGAAGAGAATGAAAGCGAGGGTAGTAACGAGGATTTTGAAATTCTAGAGGAAATAGAAGATCTATATAGTGCTTAGATTTTAGATAGTTTAATTAGATCTAACTCTAAATAAATAGACTATAAAATAGATTAACTCTAAATAGATTAGTTACTAGATAGACTAAAAGATATATCTCTATCTATTACTCTTTTTAATCACATTACTAAATATAGTAGTACTTAGTAATATCTTATATAATCCGGAAGAATATTAATCCGTTAAGATAATACTATTTTAAGATTTTTTAGTATTATTTAAGACTATTTAAATAACTTAAATATATTTACAATATAAATATATGTATTTACAATATAAATAGTTAACCTTGACTATTTAAATAGTAAATAAGGCTCAAAAGTATTTAAATTATTTAAATAAAACCACACTGGTAAGATGTAACAGGATAGGGCGACTTGTGAAACCGTACTCTTCTCTCCGGATTGGGACAAAGGCTGACATAGAAGTTGATACCGAGGCTGATACCCACAAAGCTCCGTGTGAATCAATGTGACAGGTAATAAGGGAATGTCCACACCCTCTCTACTCGATAAAGGTCGGGTCATCGGCGTCATCACTGTTGAGCTTCTTTGGTTCTTGCAAGCGATAGGTGAGCAAAGGTGAAGCCGCCGCCGCCAAGCTGTTAGTGGTCGTTGCAGCGTCCATCGGCACCAATGGCACGAGGCTGGCACAAGGCTGTGTTACACAAGGCTAGCAAGGGGCAAGAAGGAGTCTTTGGGGGTTGCGAGATCCCCCCTCTTCTCCGTCCTCCCCTTTCACCGTCCCGCACTTTGGATTCCTTCTTCCCTCGCCTCTGCCCACGGTTTAAACCCAGAAACCCAATGTTGATGATCATGAACTGTCGTCACCACGGCGGTGCGGGCAAAATCTAACTCAATAACTCCACCCCCCTACCCAGTAGCCAATACTCTGCTCTGTTCTGTACTGCTACACCTTCTCTCATCCTCTGCCATCACTGCTGCCTCTTATTCCCCATGGCTGACGGGACTAACCCCTCGACACGAAAGCGAAAAGCGACATCGCCCGCCGCTGACGTCCATCGACCTGAAATCCCACCTTCACCCGGCTCATCCATTTCTGAAGACTCTTCCATTTCCGCCACTGGGCGCTGGCTCCGAGGTCAGCCAGATCACATTGAGCACTGGCTTAGAGGGCTCCCCGATCCTCTGGACGGGTACGCGTTCGACGATGAAGAGCCTCCGCATCGACCTCTATCTGTCGACAACTGTGATATAAACCGAGAGAAATATTCCTGGTATTGCACCTCGTCCTACCTGGACGCGTTGGCAGCCTCGCACAGCTTTCCGACCTCGTCGCCGGCTGGACTTACGGACTACGATGAAACATATTGCAGCGCAGTGCTTTTGAGACCTCGCATCAACCCTGATCTTCTTTTGTTCCACGCAGACGTGTGCGACAGCCTCGCGGGCCAATCTGAATACACGATCATGATGAGTCTACACATCTTTGTCGCGCCATCGGCCGAGTACCAATATATGCTTGACAAGGAGCCTGAATTCAAGGGCCTCGCAGAATATTATGACCACCCTTGGATCAAGACAATGGCGTTTGACGGACCTCCTCCACAGCCAGATCACACCTATGGATTTCACCCCTCCAAATTCACAAAATTCCAGCGGAGAAAACTCAACATGAATCCATCCGGCGAATTCTACCACGTCGCAAAGCACGACCTCTGGTTCCCCTTCCTGACTAGCCACTGCAAATGCGGCAGGAGAGCGCGCGAAATAGGCGAGCGGGCTGCCCTCCATTCCATGACCGTCGCCATGCAAGCTATTGTTAACCTCTATCGGAGAGCGAATCGTGCCTGGGAGTTACACAGGACGATCCGCGGATTTTCCATCGTCTACGATGAGAAGAGTGCCGTTATCTTTGGCCATTATGCCGAAATTGACGGCCAACGGACGTCCTTCTACCGGGACGTCATCAAGAAGGTTGACCTCACCGACGAGACCGAGAAATGGACTTGTTGGCGATTTGTGTTGAACGTTTGTCAATATTATTCGTCGAGCTTTCTCCAGCAGCTTCAAGAGGTGATTGACGAGCTGCCTGATCCCGCCGAAGCTGCAGAAGTCCGCCCTGGACCTGCCGGCGGCGGCGGGGATTCGACGGATGCAGCGCCGAGTATTGAGATCTTGGACTAAAAGTTGGCTTCCTTTACAACGGTTTGTTACTTTGTGTTTGCAAGCAGTAGTTTTTACGCCCCTTGGTTAATATGACGAACTGTGCCAAAATTGAGTGTAATCAGGCGTCCCTTGACTCCCTTTTAGCTCCCGAGTAATTACCCTGTACAGTATCTCGCGTGTAGTGCGTGGCCTGTGCGACACGATCACGTGTTTTCGCGTTTTCCCATCGACGTGCCCCCACCCGTAATTGAACCATGTCAATGTCACCAGTGCCGGCTCCATTTGTGTCAGTGCCAGGTCAACCTCGAAAATATGGAGGAGGCTCTCTACGACGCTCTCACGCCTGTCCTCTGCATACCCATCCTCACTGCCGAGTTGTCTGCTCTGCTTTCGAAACCAACCGCAGCCGCAGGGAGGCAGGAAGAACCCGAAAATCAACAACGAGAACAACTCTTGTCACATGCCGAAGCGTTCTGCAGTTCTCTAGGCCGAGATCACCCGCAGCACGAGGACGAAGAAGAGAGGGACAAGCTCGGAGGTTTGAGACAATGTACCTGGACGAGGCTAGACAATGTCGGCGCTGGTGATAACGAGCGGCACTCCGCAGTTCAAGTTGGAAGGAGGCGTAAGAGGAACACGCAGGATGATCATAATGATGATGATGATGATGATGATGATGACGGACACACACAAATTAGAGGGCTTTCCGTATCTCTTCTCTACGAGAAAGACGCGTTCCATTTTGTGATATACACGGCCTCTCCAAGATCTGGCCTCTCAAGGCGCAGTCGGATTGCTGCTGCCACAGATCAACGCTCCACAGAGTCAAGAGAAGAGCCTGCGATTGTCCTGTCAAAGTCGTCACCTGCCGCCCTGAAATCATTTACCAAATACATCCTCGAGGTCTTTGCGCTCACCGTTATCTATCCCTTTGACCCCTGGCCGAGTTTGATGCAGTCCACACTTGAAAATTACCTGACAATAGTCTGCACTGGTCTCCCCATTGACGGCGGCAGCGGCCTGCAAGCCCTTCAAGACCACTTCAGCAACATCATCGGCAAAATCGAACTCACCATCGGCATCTCCCATCCTATAGCCAAGGCTCTGAAAAAGGTGCAGGTCATCATTCCCGCTAGCGCATTCCTTACATGGTACCAACCCGTCGAGCCCTCGGGAGGAGAAAGCCGCAGGCCCACGAATACATTCTTGAGATGGGTGGCTGATTTGGTCAAAGCTAAGTCGGGCCTTGCCCTACCTGTATTCTTCGAGAACGACGGCTTGCGCACCGAGCAACATGACCATTCCGAGGGTGACGATGACAACGAGGACAACGATTCGCCAAACGCCCTTGCTGCCTCAAGAGACCAGCATGGGTATCTGACGATGAGGATATCAAGGATATCAACCGAAGCATATGTCATGTCAGCCTCGGGCTTGAAATTCAAGTCCCGCGCCGTCCATGCGGCAGCGATGGCTAGCTCGGACGTGGACAAGGATGGAGAGAACTGCGTCTGTCTTGCAAACAGAGATCTTTTGCTGGCCATAATCGACGCCGCGCGACACGACCAGCAGCGGTGGGCCGGCGTGACGTGACATTAAAGACACGAAGCGGTGGGCAGGATGATCAGCCAAGTGATAATGCTTAGATACCTGTATGGTAGATTCAAAGCTGCGTCGGTTGTCATGATGCACCTTGGGATGGTATGATACAGCAAAGCAAGCGGGCAAGCAGGACAGGCGATAACGATGTTTACGAAATGGAATGGAAGTTCATCACGACGGACGAAGGATCAAAATCCAAGATCCAAGATCCAAGATATCCAATTCTCTCCTCGCCTGCTTTCTTTTCTCTTCCGCGGGACGAGACGAGACCAGAAAGATCATAAGTTCTACCGGGATCCAAGGAAGACAGAAAGCGAGAACATTGATGTCTTGGATGTCTCCATTACATCAACAGATAGTACCCAGTATTCGACATCTGGGTGCGCAGGTAGCCGGGTTTCGATGCCAGTGTAAAATATGCCAAGGCGCTAGTAATTATGGCTATAAAAGTGGCCCCCCAGGCTATATATTTAGCTAGTTCTAAAACACTTTTACAAGTACATCTTATTCTACCGGGTATAAATCCAAGTTGTTAGGCTAAATTTTCCGCCAAATTTCGCGGTTGGTCTCGCCGCTTTTAGAGAGTTTCTTCCCCCGATGTTAAGATCGCTCCCCTGGTCACATCCTATGTTAGCCGCCACCCTCCTTTAGTCTCCTCCCATCGGTAGTGTTGAAGATCGACTAACCTTCTTATACACTACGTAACCAGTATTACTGCCATGGTCTAGAGAGAGAGAGAAAGACAAAATATTTAGATTTCAAAAGTGTTAAATGTTTCGAGGTCTTCAAAGCATTTCACCAACCAGGCGTTCTTTCGGGAACATCACAAGTCCACGAGAACACGGAGACCTCAAACGCGTTTCACCTGTTACGCTTCTATGGTTCCGCGTCAACAAAATCTCATCAATCCTGACCCGTCCGTAGGAGTCGGCTACCAAGTTTTAGAGATGGTGTGAGCTCAGGGTTGATTGTGGCAGCCGAGCACTATAATCTGAACTTACAGGAAAGAGTCCAGGTGTTTGTTTGGACAGACAGCTGGCATGTCTCATTTCCAGCTTTCTGCCTTTGCATTGCCAGACGGTCTTGATTGGTCTATACTGCATAGCATCGCAGTTCGTTGCAGCAGACTGGAGTGACGGCGTCGTCATAGCATCAAGGATATCTATCCGATACATCCAACAGACACATGCATTTCCTTGGTAAATTATTTTCCTGTGCGTTTACTCGGGCGGGTAAGTATCTCTCATATCTTGAACTTTGTGAGATCGATTCTAGAGATCATAGCAAAAATAGTTGTTGGCTTTGGACTACTAAGTGTGGGACAATGAATAAATACAGTGAAGCACCGAAACCAATGATATGAATAAGCGGTAACGACAGTCAAGCTTTGGCTGGTGATGTTTCTCTCTCTTTCAGAGGTGATATAGGTGAGACTTCCTTCGTGAACGAGATCATTCTCTCCCAGATCAACCGAATCGATCTTCTCCGCCAAACAGAGTGCCATCAATTGTCGGGTTCATATGTGTAGAGTGGTTGATTGCCAATCTTGTCACCGTCGAATTCGATGAAGGTTTTCGTGTCAGTAACATCCGAATCCTGAATCTCAGGCGCGATCCCATCCCTGTAGGTCATAACTGAGATGGGGTTTCTACTACCCCATAGCACAGCGCCGGTGTTGGTCTCCAATTCAGGGGCAAATTCATGTCTCAGTCCAAGCACGTGTCCCAGTTCGTGCAGAAAGAATTTGTGCAACTCGGGCTTCGTGTCGTCGTCAAAGCCTCGTTTGTACACATAGACTATGTTGAGATCCTTTTGATTGGGGAAATAGGCCTCCGCGACAACATCACCCAAATTTCCCCCGTATGCAAGGACAAAATTTGCGTCTTCCAATTTGTCGACCCAATTGAACGTGACGCCGACCGCTTTCCTATTCCACTCCTCGGCCGCCTCATTCAGCGCATTTGCAGCGTAGATTGCATCGTCTTCACCTCCAGGATATCCATTCATATATGTTGCAAAGTTAACGCTGCTGTTCTTCTTCCAGCGAGTGACGGAGACGAACAATCCGACGAAGATTCGTAGGAGAGAAGAATCCGTATCAAGCTGAACGGGGACAGGTTTCTGCGTCGAGCATCCAAATGTTGTTCCCGGCTTCAAAGCACTTCCTTCTTTATGCTCTGACTTCATTAATTTTGCCTTTTTAGGATTGAGAATCGCTAAGGCTTCCCCTGCAGGACCTTCTGTGAAGCCACGGATCCTGTCCTTTCTGCCCTGTTTGGTTCCGGGCGTGAGTACTTTTGGTTCAGACATCTTGGGCGGGTGTGCAATAGTGTACCACACCAAGCTCCAATGTTGGGATCCGGATTTATTAGGCTGTAGGAGCAAAAAAAAGATGAGAAGTCAGGTTAGGCTGGGTGAAAGGCCTAGGACAGCGGCAGCCACCATTATGTGCTTGTTTCTGCTCAGCTTCGCAGTAGGGCTGAGAGTTATTACGCGCAGCCATTGATTAAAACGCAAGAAGGTCGCGTGAGTCTCAGGCGGCCACATGATGCGGGTACGAGCGACACCCGATTTTCGACCGCGAATGAGTCGATGTCTTTCAGCTGCCAAGTTGTGCAGCCTTCAGCTGCCACGGCACTCACCTTTACCCATGTGAATTTTTTTCCGTGAGGATCCACAACTGACGAGGCTGGTCGGGGCGGGCCAAGCCTCTGCGTTCCACGGGCGGAGCGTTGTGGATTGGTCAACTTTTAATTCAACAGTCTTGGCATAACCTAATGCCTACCTTCGAACTCAACTTCTCGCTCCTGTATATTTTGAATCGCTTGTCCACACACGAGGAATCTGAGACAATGCACACAGTAAGCGGATTGACGTACAGCAAATCCCACGGAAGCTCCAACCCTTCATTCTTACATGGCTAAATCTCGTGGCGACAGTCCAAGGCACAGGGGAGCATCTCAACTAAGGTCGGAAGCCTGCTCAAAGCCCAAGTACATCTCCTCGCATTCACCGGTCTATGGGCAAGTCGGACAAGTAAGCTCAGCTGAACTTGGCAGCCATGCTCAAATGCTCTGTTGAGGATTGAACTACTCCAGAGACTGCTCGGAATGGTGCATCAACCATTTCCAATCCATTTTCGGTGGCCGGACCTCAGCATGGAGTCGACCACCTTCAAGCGAACTGTAGGAGCTCCTCTACATCACAGCTCGACAAACACGATGTAGGGTACGGAAAAGCAAGCACCGCATTGGAGGGTTGCCCTGGGCATTCTTCAGCCGCACTTGGACCGTCTCGTGTTCCCTGTCTGGGCAACATCGCAACTTACGAGCAACCCTCGGCGGGATTGCTGATACACGAGCATCACGGCCCGATGATTGGGGTGCTGATCTCACCCAAATATCAGCAGCTGGACAAACATGATGGCTCTTGAACCGATTACGAGATTCGTCATGTCTTGTAGGCAGGAGAAGGTCTCCTGGGCTCACTATCACCTTCCTGCCAGACGCTTGAAGAAAATGGAGCATAAAGGCTGGTGATCCATCTTTCCATTCCATGGTTGTCCGTTTCAACCGGATTCTCCTCATATTATTAGCCCCCACAAGTGAGTATCATTCTACGTCTTCGCCTAACTATTATCCCTCCCCAAATATGAGCGGCCCTCCACTGCCTCCGCAATTGCCTATGCTACTGCCCTCCGGCCTACCGCCAGATGTGGATATTGAGCAGCCCCCAAATTCTGTACCACATATTCCACCATTGCATCATCCCCCTTTTCCTATCCCTCACCCTACGCTCCCCGGAGGACCCCCTTTCCCCATTCCCTTCCGGACCGTCCGTGGAGGCTGTTGGTTAGTCAATTATGAACCGTCGGGAATTGGGCTTGTCGCTTATGATGGCACACTCCGCGTTGAACACAATGCCGGTGGTACAACGGCCAGTGGTGACCTGTATCAACGTCCTGTCATTCTCCTACCAAGCTTTCCTCCACGTCCACCACGCAGAATCATGCTGCCGCCACCAAACCCTGCGAATGGTATCCCTATCCAGCCTCGAGGAAGTTACCGCTACTATCTACGCATCACCAATATTCCCGAGATATTTGTGTTCGGAAATTCCTTCAGCCTCGGATTTGAATTGTGGCGCTTCGATGTTACCACACGCAGCTGGATGGCTACGCCTGAGGCTACCCTCACCGCAAAAATGTCCTGGACCACCGCCCCAGTCGGTTACCCCGGTGAATACCTCGAAGGGGATGCTAAAAATGCTGCTGGCGTCACAACTGGGCGTCTCAAGATGGGCTGGATTTCCGAATTCTATCGAAAAGTGACGATCGAAATTGATACGGTTGCCGGATCCGAGCGCCCACTAGGCAATGATGCGGGGGAAACATGGGCTACCGTCTTCTCAAAGGTCGGCTTTCTGGCGGACGTGAGGCGTAGCGATACCGACGTCACCAAGCCTGGTGATCCCGCCGATGATAGCTACAGTGATGCTGAGATGCATGCAGCTCTATTGGCCAGACGAGACCCTGTTGATCTGGACGCTGAATGGCATTACCACATCCTCGCCGTTCGTCACATCGAATCTACGGAGAGAGGCATCATGTATGATTGGCGGGCCACCGACTCAAACAACGTTCCTCGTGAAGGACTTGGTATAGCCTCCCACTGGCTGGTGGACGACATCCCCTTATGGGGTGATGTGCGCAATACTAGATGGGGTGCGTCCGCTTCTGCGTATTTCCGGACTGCTGTCCACGAACTAGGGCATGCATTTGGTCTTCAACACAACGAAATTGACAACGGCTATATGCGCACCAGTCCTGACATCGCGGCACAGCCTGGAGGGCCTTTCCCGAGGCAGATAAAGTGGGCATTCGCAGACGACGACCTGAAGCGTCTTCGCCACTGGGCCGACGTTTTTGTCCGTCCGGGCGGTTTGGAATTCACTGCAGGCTACACGACGATTCTTCCAATCACCCCGACGGATCTTAACGTCGAAATACCCAACCTGAAGCTCAACGTCAAGCCCGTACCCAGCGAGGTTCCACTCGGAGCCCCTGTTCGCGTCGAACTCGAGTTGGTGAATGATGGTGACACGCCGATCGAAGTCCCCGAGAATATCAGTCTCAAGTCTCCCTTCATCTCCGGAACCGTCACCTCTGCCGGAGTTCCACCCCGGACATTCAAACCTCTGCTCTATTGCACAGATTCTCGCCGTATGACAATATTATACCCTGCAGGGTCCAACCAGACGAACTCACTAATGTCTTCACTTACCCTCCTGCGTGGCGCCGAGGGCCCTTTGTTCCCTGTGTCCGGGGTTTTCGAAATCAAAGTCACGCTGACCTGGCCATTGGAAGGAGGCCAGAGCAGGGCTATTGCCATCGGAAGCGCGACTGTCTTTATAACTCCAACCGCAGATCCGTCTCACGCTGCTGCGGCCCATAAGATTCTCACCACGCCAGATGCGCATATCCTCCTCATTCTCGGTGGCGATTGCAACAAGCTCAAGAGCGGGAAGGAAGCCATCACCGCGGCAATCAACGACAGGACCCTGAAGCCTTACTACGCGGCTATCGAAGCGAAGAGACTGGCAACCAAGTTCCAAGGAAAGCGGAATGAGCAACTGAGAGTTGCTGTGAGGCTGATGGAAGAAACAAAGGGTGCTGTCATGACTTCTGGGGAGAGGGCAAAGCTCCAGAAACTAGAGGTAATTGATGCGACTGCATCTCAGGATTGAAATAAAGGCCGCTACGAATACTAAGGCCCATTGAAGAGCTATTCCGGCGTGGAAAAGTTTGGTATTATTGAAGTTCTACTACAGTATGCAAACTGAACCATCATCGTCCGACGAAAATACTGCCATTAACACAGGTGCTGTATTCAGTTCTAGTCAAAGATCTTGGTGTCGTGCTGGGCTGGAAAAACCATGCGATTGCCCATTCACGAGTGGTAGCAGAGTGGGAGACACGCGATTATATTGAGTTAAGGTGGAGGAAAAAAATTTCTTCGGCGCAATAGCGCCGAATTAACATTCTTCTAGATGACTAATCTAGTTATTCAATTTTTAATCAGTATATTGTAACAGAGCACTTCAGGGTTCGGCGTGCACGTGCAACAACGCACAGAGGCCTGTCCAGCAGATCGGGAATCGAGAACGCGTTTCTGGTTGACGCTGACAAGACAACACCACCACCAACACACCTAGAGAGGTAGCGGCTAGAGCAACGAACGCCTAGCACAGCGGCAGCATCGAGGAACAGGACAGGACTGATGAAAACACTCAGGAATTAGGTAGACAGCGCCAAAAAGCCATAGAATTCATGATACTCTGCTCAATCTGTTCAATCTGTAATGAATGGCACACTGCCAGCACGGTAAACTGTTCCGCACCCCCTTCTCTGCCAGCCCATTTAGGTTTGATATGTGACCTGACAGATCTCTGCCTGCCACCGCTCTACCAGCCCAGCACAGCACAGCCACCTCGCCTTGTTACAATACTATACTCCCTTCAGAGCCCCCCCTCGCTAATGCCGAGCGTTCTCACTCATTCTCCGAAGTCGATGACAATAGTAGTGTGACTATTTTAATGCGGGTTTGGTCTAGCGGCAGGTGTCGGCTGTGGAGGGGATCATACAGAGCGTACCTTAATACATGACAGATTTCACCGAAGCTGAGCTTGTAGTGGTGAAATCAAACAGGGTTAGCGGATTCTGATGGATGCGCGGATACGAAAATTCCATGACAAATAGAAATTAGGCGTCAAAATCAGCCGAACTGTGCATCGCAAGGGCGAGGGCGAATTCCGATTTTGAACCTCGCATTGTCGCTGCTCACTGTAGGTTGCTGACCTTATAAGAAGAATGCTTTCGTGTTGTCAAATTCAGAATGTGGGAAAGGACTAAGCGGGAGGAGGAACGGCAACAGCCACAAGGACTGGCTGTAGTCCTTGTGGCCAATCCCATATTTCTCTGCCGTGATCTTACTTTTTCAGCCAGCGAAACTACCTCTCAATATGGACGGGACAGCCCATTTGGGTAATTATCGAGTGAAGCAGGTGTGATGGATCGGAGGGGGACCCTTCGATGCTAAGCCCATTAGCCGGATGAAGCAAGCATTGATCATGCCATGTACTGTGGATTGCATACTGTAAGTGCTCGACGAGCCTTGTCGGTGCCGCACCACGGTTAAAGCTAGCTCTGTCTAGCTTCGGCAAACGAATATTTCGACACTCACTGTCTTGCGAAGCCACTTCATGGTGATACATTTGCCCTCGTGGGGAATCCTTAGACTTAGGGAGCATATGCCTTGTGCGCATTGGAGGACGACAAATTTTTGTCCTGGAACTTCCAGACGCCGTTGTGGAGTCGATAGCGGCCTGGGAAACCCTCAAACAATTCGCCTTGCGATCCGGCTGGCGCGTCATCTCGATTTCTCTATAGTGAAGATATTCGGTGTGACGGGGATGTGATCAATGTGGCTGGCTGAAAAACTTGACGTCGATTACAAGGATTGGTGGATAGAGCGCTGCTCTACAGCTAGTGCCGCTGCAGCTAGCTGTCGGGCTGCGAGACTGACGTGGATTCTCCCCACTGGCCGCCCGCGGGCGCGAGCCTCACATGGGGCCAGTAACTCCCCTCCTCGGCGATGCGTGCACAATACTTCGAAGTAAAGCGTAGGATGACGTGTAATGTGCTAGAAAGCATAGAAGGACGGCGGTTCTTAGTACAGCTATGAATTCTCCTCTGCGCTTCTTCATCCGCAAGCCATCCTGTCCCTATTCCCAAACTCTGTTCCGCCAGTCGCAGCCTTACCATGATTCCAAATATTCGGCCCTGCGCCCACGATGACAAGTCCGGCCCGTACCCTAACCGCAAGCGACTCATTATATGCTGTGATGGAACCTGGAACAACACTTGAGTAACCCTACTAGTTCTACCATTGCCCTTCTAATGTGGATCGCAGAAATGATAAGGCGGATCCAGCCAGCAATGTCAGCCGCCTTTCCGGCGCCTTCACCCGCAAGTGCTGCTCCGGCATGCCCCAGATCGTTTATTATCACCCCGGCGCGGGAACCGAGGTTTTTAACACTGCGAAGGTCCTCGGAGGTATGTTTGGGGTTGGTATTCCTCAGGTGAGTTGCATCTGCTGTTATGGCTAGTTGTCGAACCTAGTAAACGATTGCCTGCCAGAGAATAAGTTCGCTCAGCTGTGCATTACAGGATATTGTCGAATGTTATCGGTTCATCTGCGACAATTACAGGCCCGGCGACGAGATAGTTATGATCGGCTTCTCGCGTGGCGCCTTTACGGCCCGTTCTGTCGCTGGCATGGTGTGCGCGCTTGGCTTCCTCAACCGCGCTGGCATTGACCAACTGCCACATATCTTTTGTGACTACAAGAATTGGTTGACGTGGACGAGCGAGTCCAAGTACAACAAAAAGGTTCAGCTCTTGGGCTTCACGCTCGACAACTTACGCAGGGTAAAGAAGATGGAAGAGTTTAGGGCCCAAAATGGGTCGACAGAGTACACCGAAATAACACCAAAAATACTTGACACCGAGAAGGAGGAACTGTTCGAACGGATGAAGTTGATAGCTGACGGTGTTAGTAGGGCAAAGCAGATGGCCGAGGAATACCGGAAAATGCTCGTCAGAGTAGGTAGCCTCTATCCATCCCTGCACGCTATCTCTTGTTATACGCTAAGAAAAAGACATAGCACGAAATGTCTTTAACCACCCGGACTAAAGACCAGAATGGAAGGGTGGAGTTTGTGGCGATGGAGGGAAAGGTCAGAGCGATTGGTGAGTCCGTTTCCAACCCTGCTTTGCCGATCCCTTTCGATTGCTGCTAATGAAGAATTATCTTTATTAGGTGTCTGGGATACCGTGGGAAGCCTCGGCATACCGAAACTTCCATTGTTCCACAACGGTGAACTTCGAGCTGAAGAGGTACGGCTGTCAGCTTGGGGATTCTCAAATCTACACCTCATATTTCGACTGATCAGCCTGATAGATTCGGTTCGAAACTCTTTGTGTTCACCCCAATGTCGACTACGCCTTCCACGCCATTGCTCTAGATGAATGGCGCACCTCCTTTAGCCCTACCATGTGGGAAAAAGGGGACAACGGTGGCACGAAACTTCGTCAGGTCTGGTTCCCAGGCAACCATGGCAACGTCGGAGGTGGTTGGCAAGATCAGCAAATTGCGACTATCGCACTTGCGTGTACAGCCTCATCCATCGCTTGACGTATAGCAAGAAGTTGAAAAAGCTAACTAAAAGTAGGGATGGCCGATCAACTGACATCGATTGGGGTTGAGTTCAGTAGAACGGAGATGTTCCGCATGTTCTATTCGATCAACCCTGGCGTCGAGGTTCGGGAGTGGGGCATGGGCCGCATCTGCCACCCAACTGGCATAACCACAATACCCGACAAGTTCCATGCATGGGCTGCGCTGCCCTATCGGAAAATTACCGGAGCGGACACCGGCGTCACCACGCGCAAGCCGGGCATGTACAGGCTGAACAAAGCCGAAGAGCTCGTACACCCGTCGGTGCGGATCCGCTACCAGTACTACGGCCGGGATCTGGACGACGTTAAAGTATGGGACTGCCGAGCCTTGATTGGGAATGGCTACGAACTCAAGAAACAGAGGTTGGGAGAAGATGCCCAGCTGGGCAACGTAGAAGACGCTTTTGACACCTACAACAGCGTGGGGGGACCGGTGACTCCATTCTACAACGTCCCTCCGGAAGACGCGAAGACACCGCTGGTCCGCGTCGAAGGGCCCCTCCAGAAACACATATGGAAGCTCACCAAGCCGGGCCACTGGTGGTTTTGGGAAAAAGACGGAAATAAGCTGTTCGAAGAACGCATCGGTATTTGGGAGCGCATGTTTATCCGGGCCAATCACTTACTACTGAAGAAGCAACAGAAAGCGTCCATCAGCGAGGTAAGAGGGCGGGACATCGAGAAGGACGTGCAAATACGACGAAGCTCGGATGATTATGAAAGGAAGTATGGTTACCACGATGTTATGTGGTGGCAAGAACCGTTTGTGACCGACCAGGATATAAACCTCCAGCCAGTGTGAACACCCACTCCGTCATTGACTGTGTTCACGATATGCTGACAGTCCTGATTTGAGCCTCTTGAGACTATCCTTGGTCGCCTTGTGTCAAGCATTGATCTCATGGCCATAAATGTCGGTATTTACAGTTTCTCACCACTTCTGATTGGCCCTTCTTCTTTCTCGATGGCCTGTTCTTCAATGCCTCTCTCGTGGCCTTGACTTCTTCCGAGACGTTACGCATCCCTCGGACGAAAATCACGCCTAATCTCGTGCTTAAGTCTTCCTGGCCAGTCGCTGTTAGCCTCATTTAGTGACACACTTGGCGCTGCTGAATTAGGAAGAGAGGAATGGTTAATGGCTGGAAACTGCATCGGCGTCTTGCACTTGAGAAGAATCGCGTGGATCAACGATCTCGAAGTTGAATATATCTTCAAAAGGGTTGTTCTCAGCCATTCCGTGGGCTTGATATGGGAGGAGAAGGAGGTGTCGTCGGATGTTGATGACGGTAGGCAAGGAGCCAATGTCCCGAACTGACCGCGCAGTGTACAACGGCTCCCTCGACACCTGTTCCCGCGCTTCACCTCCCAACAGCAGACGCGTAGCGATGAGCCATGACAGTGCTTCGTCGACATTAATGCTGTTGGATCAGCCTTGATTGGAATCATTGTGGCTCGTGGGCACATGCGCGTATCGTTTGCTGCGATGCCATTTTTCCTGCCATTGATAATTCGCAGCATTCGCCATAATGACCGTCTCGATAAGCTTAGTAAAGTCGGCAAGGCTGAGATTATGATATCTGCTTATTTTACTCGTCTTCTTGCTGCTAAGGATGGTCAGTAAGCGTACACTCGCGGTAAAGCCCGAATACTCGAGCAGTGTTGATCCTCTCGCTTGACTTTCCACTCTCATATTCAACGCAGTCAAGAAAATAACCTCGTTGCTACAAGTAGACTAAGTACTTGCGTAAGAGTATTACAGCCTCAAACCAGTCTAACCAGACAGAGCAAGGCCCATAGATAAGCGGAAGGTACAACATCTCCTCGCAATACCACCACCAGCGATTACCACCCTGTCCCGCGGATCTTGATTCTTTTTCTGCAGTTTTGCTCTGTCCCTTTCTACATGAATTGGAGACAGTAGACGAACAAATGATGAATCTCGAACACCCCATCGCTGCCGCAGGTTGCCCTGGGTGGGCCTTATCAGCCCCTCGAGACTCGATGACGCTCCCGATTCTAAAGGTGAGCGCCATTATGCATTTGGCCGTCTTGGAACGGCCGCGTCCTGTTTCTTTTTCATCCTTTTCAACCTTTTCCTGAGGGTCATTTCCACGATTGTTATCGACTACGGAAAGGTTGCGAATCCCAGGATATCTTCGTCATCATATTCTCGCGTCGATAGAATGGAAGGTCCAAAGACAAACAACCAGGATATTCCCGAGAAGATCGAAGCGTTGCACTCTCAGCCGGCCAAAGATGTTCTTCCCCCGTCACCGCCACCCACTGACGGCAGTGTCTCAGATCTGGATGTTGAGAAGGTGGAAATACCACTTCCCCCGCCGTCTGTTAGCCCCAGCCAAGTGCTAGATGTTGATTTGAAGACACCGGACAGCCACATCCCGCGTGATCCCAGGCTGATCAGGCTAACTGGAGTACATCCATTCAATGTTGAAGCACCATTGACGGAACTCTTCAACGGGGGCTTCCTGACAAGTCCAGAATTATTTTATGTCCGAAATCACGGCGCTGTGCCCCAGGTCAAGGATGAAGAAATCATTGACTGGCAATTTACCGTGGAAGGACTGGTGGACGAACCAATGACAATATCGCTGAAACAGCTCATGACCCAATATGAGCAAGTGACCTATCCAATCACCTTGGTGTGTGCGGGAAACCGGAGGAAAGAGCAGAACATGGTCCGGAAAAGCAAAGGATTCTCCTGGGGCGCCGCGGGGCTGTCGACCGCTCTCTTCACCGGCGTGGTCATGTCCGATGTCATCAAAAGAGCCAAACCCAAGAGAAAGGCCAAGTACGTGTGCATGGAAGGCGCTGACAAACTCCCAAATGGATTCTACGGTACATCCGTGAAGTTGAACTGGGCAATGGACCCTAATCGCGGCTTCATGCTCGCCTACAAAATGAACGGCGAGGTGCTCCGACCTGATCACGGGAAACCTCTGCGGGCTGTCATTCCTGGGCAGATCGGTGGCCGCTCCGTCAAATGGTTGAAGAAGCTAATCGTCACAGATGCGCCCAGCGACAACTGGTATCACATCTACGACAACCGGGTCCTGCCAACCATGGTCTCTCCAGAAGAGTCGGCAAGCAATCCAAAGTGGTGGACGGATGAAAGATATGCCATCTACGACCTTAGCCCCAACTCAGCTATCTGCTATCCCCAGCATGAGGAGCAGTTGTGCCTCACGGACGCCCCCAGGACCTACCGAGCGAGAGGGTATGCGTACAGTGGTGGTGGGCGACGCGTCACTAGGGTCGAGATCTCACTGGACAAGGGCAAGACGTGGCGGCTCGCAGAGATTGACTACGTCGAAGATCGATATCGACAAGTGGAGAGAGATCTTTTTGGTGGCCGGCTTGACATGGCGTGGCGTGAAACTTGCTTCTGCTGGTGCTTCTGGTCAATCAACCTGCCCACCGAAGAACTCGCCAGGGCCAAAGATATCTTGGTACGGGCTATGGACGAAAGCATGAATGTTCAGCCTCGCGACATGTACTGGTCTGTGCTAGGTATGATGAACAATCTCTGGTTCCGCGTGACCATCACCCTCGAAGGCGACTATCTTCGCTTTGAACACCCAACCCAGCCTGCACTCATCCCCGGGGGCTGGATGGAGAGGGTCAAGAAGGCTGGCGGAAATCTCGCCAATGGGTTTTGGGGAGAGAAACTTGAGGGCGAAGAGGCGGTGGTCCCGAGCGAAGAGCAAGCGGCCAAGGAAATATCGATGGTCAAGGAAGGCTTGAAGAACGCTATCACGATCGACGAGCTACGGAAACACGACACCGAGCAGCAGCCGTGGTTCGTGGTCAATGGCGAAGTATATGACGGTACAGCATTCCTGAAGGAGCATCCTGGCGGGGCGCAAAGCATCGTTTCGGCAGCGGGTCTCGACAGCACCGAGGAATTTCTCGCAATTCATAGCGAAACTGCCAAGGCGATGATGCCCAAATACCACATAGGCTCACTCGACGAGGCCGCCAAAACTGCCTTGACCGCGGGCGAGACGGAGACTGACCAGTCTGCAAACCCTCCCGAGACCTTCCTCAACCCCAAAGCATGGAAGAAAGCTATCCTGCACGGCAAACGGATCGTTTCCTGGGACACACGCGTCTTTACATACAAGTTAGAGCACCCGGAACAACGCCTCGGCCTGGCCGTCGGACAACATCTGATGGTGAGACTGCGGGATCCCGCCACCCGCGAGGCGATCATCCGCAGCTATACTCCAATCTCGGAGATCAATGACCAGGGCTTCATGGAGATGCTCGTCAAAGTGTACTTCGCCAACGCAAACAACAAAGGGGGGAAGATGTCTCAAGCGATGGACACCCTTCCCATTGGGCATTTTATCGAGATGAAGGGCCCGATTGGCAAGTTCGAATACGTCGGAAATGGCAAGTGTCTCGTATCGGGGAACGAGAGACTGGCCAGGTCGTTTGTCATGATCTGCGGAGGAAGCGGGATCACCCCAATCTACCAGGTGTTCCGGGCGGTAGTGCGAGATCCCAACGACAAGACGCAGTGCATCATCTTTGACGGAAACCGACTGTTCGAGGATATCCTGTGCCGGGAAGAGCTCGACGCTCTGCTGGTGGGCAACGAGCACAGGTGCAGAGTCCTGCACACCCTCACGAAAGCGCCGGAAGACTGGACGGGGCTTCGAGGACGCATCACGGGCCAACTGGTTCAAGACCACTACACCAGGACGGACGACACGCTGATTCTGATTTGTGGCCCGGCGTCGATGGAACAGACCATGCATAAAGTGCTGCTGGAACAGGGGTGGGGTGAGGACCAACTCGTGTTCTTCTGAGACGTTGCATTGTCAGCGATGGGTGAAATTTGAAAGGAAAGGCATCGTGGTGCAAAACAGGGGACACGGGAGTCAGTGTCAGCCGTATACTCCATACATCCAGAATGTTGTTGGTTATGTGATCTTGTCTCCCCAGGCACCGGCGACACCGTCAGCAGCGAGGAGAGAATGGACCAGATGACATAATCCGAGCGAGTCTGAGTAAGTTGTTGAACGAAAGGCAAACCCCCCAGTCGCCGTATACCTCAAGTACGGTTTGATGCTAGAGAGGGAGGGATGGGGCGAGTGAAAGCCTCTTTCACCTGAGCACTCGACTCGAGTGACCATTTAACCAAACGCCACCGAGGCCTCAATCGGTCTTAAACCCTCAAATCTCATAAATTTGTCCGCAGGGCCCGATAGGTATGAACAGAAGCGAGCGCCTTGCAGCCTTGGGGGTTCTTTTTTGCTCAGCCTCGAGTTTTGGGAGAGTTGAGGCCGCGGAGAGTTTGTCTTGAAAAATATGGGTTAGGGAAGAAGAGGTAAAGCAAAAGTGAAGAAATGTTCGCAGGTCCAGAGCGATTCAGCTTACGACATTCTTGTATTGCGACCCCAAGTCGTTCAGGCAGCATGCCTTATCGAGGAGCTTTTGTTGAATGAATTGATTTGCATCTTTGATCCAACAAAGAGCCGAGATATGTTGAAACTGGATGGATAAGCGGACCCTCTGGACAGTTCTTTGAAATCCAGGCAAAAGTAGCAGTTTCACATCGGATCTTCTGGTCCGACCCATGGGAAGCTCCGAGCATGTGTGGAAACGGGCGTCTGAGTGAGCCTTATGTTTGGAGTAAACATGTCGTAGAATAAGGCGGGGGGAAGCCGCGGACAAGGATATGGATACCTGGCACAAGACCAAGGTGTTTTCTACAAGTCGCGAAGAGCAGTGCAGTAATAACACATAAGTAAACTATCGACGGGGTACAAGGTACTGGGAACTCGGTACAGTATGCGGAATATGTAGGGAGTACTTGTACAGCGAGTGCTCGGCACGTGCAACAGTTCCGCCGAATTTGTCATGACAGGCTTTTAGGGATTATTAGCACAAGCCTGTTACAGCAAGTTACAATACGCCAAGGCGCTAGTGGTGCTAGTACTCGGTAGATCGATCGAGATGCGCTAGCGAGCTTGTTATCGCTCGCGTCTCGTAGCCACTCAGACCTGGACTCTTATCTCTGTGCTCCACGTTCCGTCGAATCTCCAGAGCCCGTGGAGAAAGAGATCTTCAGTCTCTTCCGCGATCGCTTTCCCTATGTCTAGGCCTTTTGTGTGAAGATTGACTGACGATAGACGATGACAGGGCGATATTCGCCATTGGCTCTGCAGAGCACCGAGGATGGACGGGAGCAAATCGTAGCCTGAATCGGCTGACGTCGAGCCTTGCTGATAGGCACATCTGTTCGTCTCGTTGGCCGTCTGTCGTCGTGCTACATCCCCGCGGAAATCATGCCTTGCGTGAGTGGCGTCCGCGATTTTTACATGGCACGCAGAATTCCAGCCTGTCATTGTGAGGGCAATTGTTCTTCTTTTTTCTGACACCCTTCCGGATTTCGATGGGATCTCCTCGCTCAAAGCAAATCGGCTGTACCCTACCAATGCATCATCATTGAAGTACACGGCAGAATCATCTCAAGGGCGTCAACAGGCGAGGTGGGAAAAGGCCAACGCCATGTCTTGGTCAACATCGTCGCCGGGCATGGCCATCAGCCGTGTTCCGGAGGGTGTGGAAGTCAACGGTGACATAAAGCCGGCACCAACGCAAAGGAAGAAGGTGGTGGTAGTTGGCTTGGGGATGGTCGGGATCGCTTTTGTGTAAGTCTGTCTCGATTTGGTACTTCGACAGTGTGGCCGAGCTTGAAACCACACGAAGGCACTCAGCTGACAGGAGCTTCACAGGGAGAAGCTATTGAAACTCGACGCTAAGAGGCGAGAATACGACGTCGTAGTCATTGGCGACGAGCCCCATCTCGCATACAATCGTGTCGGATTGACAAGCTTCTTTCAGCACAGGCAAGTCGAGTCGCTTTACCTCAACCCGGAGTCTTGGTACAAGGGCCATCCATCGGGCTCTTTCAGCTACCATCTGAATACGTTGGCCACTGAAATCAAGCCGCAAGACAAAGTTATCGTAACGGCTCAAGGTGACACGATACCTTATGACATTTTGGTCCTGGCCACCGGGTCCGACGCTGTTCTCCCTCGGCATACTCCAGGCCATGATGCCAAAGGTGTGTTCGTTTACCGAACTATTGAAGATCTTCAGAAACTCATCGCATTCTCTGCAACCGTCAAGGGCACAACGGGATGTGTCGTGGGCGGCGGACTCCTAGGGCTTGAAGCGGCCAAGGCCATGATGGATCTGGAGGAATTCCAGCAGGTCAAGCTCATTGAAAGAAACAGATGGGTTCTGTCGCGGCAGCTGGACGGAGATGCTGGTGCCATGGTCGTCGAGCTCGTCCGTAACCTCGGACTTGACGTTATGCTTAGCAAGAGGGTTGGCAGAATTTTGACCAACGCGGACAACGCTGTGAGAGGTCTTGTCTTCGAAGACGGTGAGGAAATGGAGTGTTCTTGCATCATGTTCGCGATTGGCATCAAAGCGAGAGATGATTTGGCCAGGACTGCGGGGCTAAAATGCGCCGATCGAGGAGGAGGTGTCGTAATCGACAACAACCTCAGAACGAGCGACCCTCACATTTACGCCATTGGTGAATGTGCAAGCTGGGAAAATCAAACATTTGGTCTTATTGCACCAGGTGTCGAACAAGCTGATGTTCTGTCGTTCAATCTCACACAAGCCAAGGTCCACAGCCCTCGGACATTCAAACGACCGGATCTGAGTACGAAATTGAAATTGCTGGGCGTAGAAGTCGCCAGTTTTGGGGATTTCTTTGCGGACCGAGATGGACCGAAGGACCTCCCAGGGAGGCACGTCAAACGGGAGAACAAGAAAGGCATTGGAAGTCAAGACAAGGTCAGGAATCTCACTGACGGCCCGCCGCCTCCAGCCGTCAAAGCACTCACCTACAGAGATCCGTTTGCAGCTGTGTACAAGAAATATCTGTTCACCATGGATGGAAAGTATCTGCTAGGGGGCATGATGATCGGCGACACAAAGGATTATGTCAAGCTGGTGCCAATGGTTAAGAACAAGAAGCAACTGGAAGTGCCTCCATCTCAATTCATCATTGGCGCCTCGAAGGATGGCGACGAGAACGCCGACGACCTGACAGACGATACACAAATCTGCTCTTGCCATAACGTGACCAAGGGCGATGTTGCCAGCGTGGTCAAAGACGGCTCCTGCAAATCGATTGGCGACGTCAAATCTTGCACCAAGGCTGGCACAGGCTGCGGTGGTTGCATGCCTCTAGTCCAGTCCATATTCAACAAGGCCATGAAAGACATGGGCCAAGAGGTCTTGAACCATCTGTGTCCTCACTTCAAGTTCTCCCGAGCTGATCTCTACAACATCATCTACGTCAAGAAACTGAAAGACTTTGGTGCGGTCATGAGGGACAGCGGCAACGATCCAAATAGTCTTGGATGTGAGGTCTGCAAGCCCGCTATTGCGTCGATCCTCTCCAGCATGTTCAACAAGCATGTGATGGAACGACCACTCCACGGACTCCAGGATACGAACGATAAGTACCTGGGAAATATTCAGCGCAACGGGACATTCTCTGTCGTTCCTCGAGTCGCTGGTGGTGAGATCAGTCCCGACAAACTTATTGTCATCGGCCAAGTTGCCAAGAAATATGGTCTCTATACCAAGATCACTGGTGGCCAACGCATTGACATGTTTGGTGCGAAGAAGCAGGACTTGCTCGACATCTGGTCGGAGCTGGTCGCAGCTGGACTCGAATCAGGTCACGCCTATGCCAAATCCCTCCGCACTGTCAAGTCGTGCGTGGGCACCACGTGGTGTCGGTTCGGCATCGGAGACTCTGTTGGTCTCGCCATCAGGCTCGAAGAAAGATACAAGTCGATTCGAGCCCCGCACAAGATAAAAGGAGGTGTGTCTGGATGCGTTCGGGAGTGTGCGGAGGCCCAAAACAAAGACTTTGGCTGCATTGCGACGGAAAAAGGTTTCAATATCTTTGTCGGAGGGAATGGCGGAGCTACGCCGAGACACTCGGAAATCCTGGCCAAAGATGTCCCTCCTGACGATGTCATCCCCATCCTTGACCGATACCTGATGTTCTACGTCCGCACGGCTGATAGACTCCAGAGAACGGCCAGATGGGTAGAAAACCTGCCTGGTGGTATCCAATATCTGCGAGAAGTTATTCTGGAGGACAAGCTCGGTATTTGTGCAGAGCTTGAGAAGCAAATGCAAGAGCTCGTTGACACGTTCTTCTGCGAGTGGAACGAAGTCCTGAGCGACCCCACGAAGCGCAGAGCATTCCAACAATTCGCGAACACAGAAGATAACAGAGAGCCCGCCGTGGAGAAGGTTGAGGAGAGAGGACAGTCAAGACCAGCATACTGGGCCAAGGATCCGGTCCACGAAGACTTTAAAGGGACGAGATGGAGCAGTTTGACATGGCAACCTATTGTTGAGGCGAACAAGTTCCAAGATCTGGACACGGGCTCGTCACAAACCGTCATACGAGGTGACACTCAACTGGCGATATTCAAACTTAAGGGCAAGTACTATGCGAGTCAGCAAATGTGCCCTCACCGACGGACATTTGGGCTTTCCGACGGCCTTGTGGGTGAAGTGACCTCGCCCGACTGCAAGGAGAGCAAATTCTATGTCAGTTGTCCGTATCACAAGAGGAACTTCCAGTTGAATGGTGGCGTCGAATTTGACGAGAAGGATGCCGGTGCTGGCTCTTGCTCGAACGACAATACCATGTCGATTGCCACGTTCCCGGCCGAAGAGCGGGAAGATGGTTGGGTATATCTCAAGCTGCCGCCTGTGCAAGAGATGGACAATGTGCTTGGGACTGGAAAGTGGACCGTGAAGAAGGACGAAGCACCAAATCCGTTCGCAAGTCTTGACAAGATGCTTGGGTATGACAAAGGTCTGCGGCCGCAAAAGACTGTGGGCCCGGTGCCTGGAACAGGAAATGTGAGAGCTGGGAGAGAAATCGGGGTTGTGGCACAGAAGAGGATTGACTGGTAGTGATACAGCAATATGGAATGCAAATACATACATGTCTGGGTTTACTCTCTCTCTTCCCTTTCGTCAGTCGTCGCCGCCACAGCACGATGCGCCTGAAATCTCCAATGTCGCGGAAGCAAAAACCGCGCAAGGCTGAGCAAGGCTGGGATGAATGGGCCAACCACATCGAGGCTCTCCGGTACTTCTCGGCTACTAGCGTGTTTCGCATTGATATCACAACTTCGCTGCTGACAATTGCCGCATTCATCAGCTTCATCATCGTCTCCCTCTTCTCAGACCGGTAGATAGTCGCCTTCACCAGTATGCGCGTGCTTCGACCACTCTCTTGATTCCGAAGCAACAAGTCTCGTGGAGAGCGAGAGTACGAGGGCGAGGCGACTTCGTTATGAACGGGGCGTTGAACTCGCAACGGCATGAGCGTCTCACCTTTTTGGCGTTTTGCAAGCTTCTCCAGCTCGTCTCTTCTTACACGATCCCGCAATATGTAATCGACTATGGTGAGTAGAAGGCCAATGACAAGGGGGGAAATTGACTCTCGTTGCTACAATTTCTGGGGCTTGCAAGATCGAAAGCTGCGGCATACATGGGCTAACCATCCGTCAGCCCCAATCATCTGGCTACACTCCGATGACCCATATATGCCAAGTGACATCTTGAGCCATGTCTTGCACACGGCACCGAGGGTCGGCTTTGAGCCCATAACGGACGCGATGCCACTGAGAAATCTAGAGAATCTGTCCCTGTTGAACCGATACGGCAGGGACGGGACCGATGTCTACTTGACGGCGGTCGAAGACGTGTCCGTCTTCCCGGACTGGGTCCTCGGTGAGACACCTGATGCGACGGGATCTCTTCGAAATTCCACTGCATGCGCGGTCGTCGTTGTGGATAAGAAGGGAGAGGACGCCGACCGACAGGGCCAGCTGGTGTTGGACGCCTTCTACTTCTATTTCTACTCTTGGAACGAAGGGGCCGACATCTTGCAGGTGGTGCCGCCATTGAACAAGCTGTTCCCGGACAGCAAGCCCGGTGATCACTACGGCAACCATCTGGGTGACTGGGAACACAACATGATCCGGTTCGAGAATGGGAACCCGACAGGGATATACTTCAGCCACCACGCTGGTGGCGAAGCCTGCGCTTGGGAGGACGAGGCCTGCCTGTCGAAGCAAGGAGCAAGGCCGGTTGTCTTCAGCGCTCGCGGATCCCACGCAAACTACCCCTCGGAAGGAAGCCACGTCCACGACGAAGCACTCATCGACATCGCAGACAAGGGCCGGCGGTGGGATCCGGTCAAACGAGCCTACTTCTACCATTACGACCAGCACAGCGAGACCTTCAGCGCGGCAGACCCAGGCGGCACAGACCCAACCGACTGGCTGGCCTTTAACGGAAACTGGGGCGACAAACAGTATCCCGACTCGGATCCTCGACAAGAGACGGTCCCCTACTTCGGGCTCAAGAAATACAACAACGGGCCCAACGGGCCCAAGTTCAAGCACCTCGTGAGGCAAGGGCTGATGCCCGATGTGAAGGAGAAGGCCAATCTCATGAAGACGCTGGTCCACTGGTACATGGGCATGTACGGGTGCTGCTTGAAGGGCATCAACCCGTGGGTGGTTGTCGTCGGCCTCTTGGTTGCTTTGGCGGCGACGATAGGCCTGTGCGTCTTCACGCTCAGGAGAGTGCGGCCGCGATTAAAGGCCTGGGTCCTGGAGTGGAAGGAGAAGAAGAAGAGGAGGAGGAGGAAGAGGAAGACGGACGAATCTAAAGACACGGCAGAAGTCGAACTTCGGCTACTCGATCCCGACAGGGCAGAGGCCGAGGACGACGCGGAGGCATAGGAACAGTCCCCGCCGCTTGCTTTTGGCGCATTTGCAGCCCGAACAGCCAGATCTCTCATTCTGCGTCGGGGGAAAAATAGAAGTGATTTGTTTTTGGATGCTATTCATTTTCAGTTTGCGGTGCAGGGCAATGTATCACTCCCCTAGCAACTGCTGCTGCTCCTCTGCCGCTCTGTAAGGTATGTATAGACAGGCTATAGCAGCTCTAGTCGAGAAACGACAGTATCCAATTTATCACTCCGAAGGTAACCGCAATGAATAGGTTTGCTTTACTGCTACAATATCACGATAGATCCCATGATCCAATCAGATAGACTCGGCACCTCCGAGTCTGCCATGCTCTTGGACTCATCCACGGGCGAGAGTATCGCCACGTACTGAGAGCCGGGGTTTGACAATGCCCCTCCCCATTCTCCCTGCCTTGATCCCCTTTTGTTTGTATATCCATCACTATCCGAGGGCTCCTCGCTCTTGAGTTACAGGTCAAAAATCTCACCGTATCCAACGCCAACACCTGCCCGTCTGGGCTCCACCAGATCCAGTCGCCAACCTACCCACTGTTTCAGCCCTCTTTTGATCTCCCTCACATGCTCCACCATCTTCCTGGCCTCTTCCTCCTTCTGTGCCCGCGCAAAGGCATGCTCGTCAAAAGCATCGTCGTCGTCGTCGAATTCCTGGAGCAGGGAATCGTTCCGGGGCCGATTCTGCTGGCTGACTGGAGAGGTGGTGCTCGCGCGGAATGCTGCAAGACCCGAATTCAGCACCTGCGCGAAGTTGGAGTGACGAGTCTGCTGCTGCGGGTTCGCGAAACTTCTTCGTCGACTGCTGCCGGCTCCGGGGCCTGAAAGGTCCACCTCGTCGAAATCCTCGGCGCCTGGATCCAGAGAAGTTCGCGACCCGACATCGTCTCCGCGAGGCTGCATTTGTACCCTCTTGTCTCTCCACACCCCGCGCTGGAGATCAAAGACTTGCCCTTCCAGTTCCCGGATTCGTCTTTCGAGCTTCTGCCTCTCTTCGTCTTCCAGTTCATCCAGGCCCTCTCCGCCTCCATCGCCGCTCATCACGCGCTTATGCTTTTCTCGCAACTGTGCATTTTCGTTCTCGGCCTTTCCGATCTTGATGCGCAGAGCAGGGACTTCGCGGGCGCTGGCCTCAGCTGCGGCCAACTTGGTCGCATGCCTTGCTTCGGCCTCGCGGTGGAGCTTGTTCATCACTTCAATTTTCTTTTCCAGCTGTTCTGCTTTCTTCACGGCCTCGTCCCGCTGGGCCACGGTTTCTTGCAATTCTCTTTCCAGAGTCTGAATCTTCATTTCCTTGCTCGTGCGCTCTGTCGAATCCAACACAGCTTTCTCACTAGCCTTGGACAACGCCTTCCTCGCATCTGCCAAGTCACTCTCAAATGCCTTCAACTTTTTCTCTGTCGACGACAACGAAGCTTGTAGTCCAGCAATTTGCTCTCCGTGCGCCTCGCAGCCTTGGGCCTGACTGGATAATTGACCCCTCAGCCTCGAAATCTCGAGCTGCATATCCGCAATGGTGGAATCTTTCCTCTCCAGTTCGGCCCTTACCATGACCGCGTCCTCGCTCGCAGCACTCTCCCTCCTGCTGAGCGTAGTAGTCGTCAAACTTGTCCGTCTCCTGAGTGCCTCGATCTCAGCTCTTAAGCGCCGAATCTCCTCCTCCGCCACTGAATTTGGAGGCTTCTCTGCATTCTCCTCTCGCAGGTCCTCTAACTCTTCTTCTACCTTGCGCCACCTCCTCTCGTGGGCCTCGGCTTCCTTTGCCAGCCGTTTATTCTCCCTCTCCAACTCTTCAATCTTCAACAAGGAGTTGCCCGTGAGCAGGGCGGGGCTTAATGGGCCACTATCCCGAAAACTTGTGCTGCGCATTTTGCTTTGCAGGCTGACGCTCGGTTGGCGGGCAGTATGGCGAGCACTAGACTCTCTTGTGGACGAGGACTGGTCTTGCTCGGCAGAGGGGGGGGAGATCGTTGCGGGAGAAAGGACCGTTTCCGGTGCGGGAGCATTCGTACTGGCTGCTTGAATTGCGGCGTTGAAGGCTTCTTCATCTGCGTCTGCGTCTGCAAGGCTGGCGGCAGCACCCTTATTGCCGTGTTGTTCTTCTGCCGCAGGCTCAACTGCATCGGCCTCAGGGACATCGTCTACCTGAGCTATGTTCTTCTCTTGGCCATCGCTAGCAGTTTCTCCTTCTGTCCCATCAGCAGCCCGCTCGTCCTCCTTTTTCACACTGTCTTTGGCAGCAGCGGCTTTCTTCTTCTTCTGCAGCTGGGCTACCTACGTCCGGCGTGGGAAGTCAGTAATAGGCTCAACTGCATCGACACTAGACCCTGAGGGAAAACGTATCGAACTACTTGGCCTGCTTTTGCAGCTTGGGTATCCGTATCACAATAACAACAAATGGAGTACTCTTACCCTCTTTTTCGCGGCAGCCAGTTTCTCGGCTTTCTCCTTGTCTTCTTTCTCGCCCATAGTGGATGGATTCAGAAACCGCCGCTTGCTCTTTGTAAACCTCGAGTCGATTCGGGTGGAACGGTGATCCTCGACCGGTGATGTGGGGAAAATCAAATGAAGAAAGGGCGACGAGTGCCCGTCTAGATCAGGGATGGGAGAAGTGAGATCCGTTGGTAGTCGTACTCCTTACCATAAGAATGGATATAGGTGGGGAGACGTGGTCTGTACGAGATACAGGAGAGGCAGCGCAGACTGCCACAGGGCTGCAGGTCGCGCGTATTGGTGTTTGCAGGAATCGGACTCGGGTCAATGATACACCGGCACCGCAAGAGTCACGACTGCACAGCGAGCCGTACCTCGGCTGCCTACTCCACCGTATAAAATGTGGGCCAACTGCCTTGCGCGTCACCGTATTTCCTGTGCAGGACGGTTGGGAGGGTCTGAACCCCCAAACCCATCGAGCGTGGAGATAATCCTAGTTAGGTTGATGGGGTGTGAACGCTCGCCGAACTCAAATTCAACCTTACCAGAAGGGAAGAGGATAAAAGGAGCTGAATTTGGTATTCACTCGTAAAGGAGTGCCCTCATCTACGGTCCAATGACACAAGGAATGGACCTTCCGTTACGCCTGCCTCCACAGGCTGCACGGGGGCTTATGACGATAATACCAGAAAGACCATACTAGACGCTGTCCAGCGGTCGACTTCAGAGACTGTAGATGGGCTCGAAATCCCCTGAGTACCGTCGTCACGGAGCAATCACAGTGTCCTGCGGGTGCTTCCGTTGTGAGAGTTTCAGGGAAACGACATGACGCTGAACGCTTAGGATACCTCCTCCTATGCTGGGCACATTCCTGCGAAGACGAAACGGCGGCCTCGAACCTCAATCGTCACTTTTGAGACTGTGACGAAAGCGTTTCCAGAGACATGGCACGACAAGAACACCTGTCTACTCTACGCCCACAGAAACTATCGTGGACGCAGGAAAGCCAGGGTTCCAATTAGATTCCGGAAGAAGCTCAAGACCAAGATTAAGAGTCTCTACGCCTCAGAGTCAACCTTATCCCTCCCGCCAGATTGAAGAACATTTCTTCCTTGACTTGGAGACCGTTGCCCTTGGATCAGGCTACAGCGGGCTCTTTGTGCTACCATTGTCCCTGTACGACTTCCGTACGGATTGAGCACGTTGATCACATACCCACTGGCTAGTTGCAAGGCTGAATGCATAGAGACAAGGAATCGGCACATTCGGACAATGCTGAGACATTCACGCATAAGTTGCTGCCTCACATCGAACCTTTTTGTCACTGTTCCCAGAACAGAAGGTGTCATCACCTATTCGATAGCATCAAAACGCGCTTCGAACCGTCGACTATCATAGGGACACATACGAGGCAAATTAAACACTCCCGTAGGTGACATCCTCGCCGAAAGCAATGCGGGTACCTAGCATAGAAGTGGTGAGACTAGTCTTGACGACAGAAAGCGAACTCTTTCACCCTGTATACTTCGAAGATGGTGGGGGTTAGTGGATAGGTTGCTCAGCGGGTAAAAGAACACTTATTCTCCTTGGCACAACGCTAAGACGTAACGGGGCTCGCGGGGGACGCATCTTCGTCCGAAGACCTTCACACTACTCGGTACTTGTACTTGTACTTGAGGCTATGGTGTCACGTGACCGTGCCCGGTGCGCGATGTAACCTGTACTGTACTGGGTACCCAATACCGAGTACCGGGTCCGTGAGTGTTGGGGCGCGCTTGGCATCGATTCACCTCGTTGTTGTGGCGCCTACACATCATCAACACTGAACAGTGGACACCACCCTCTGTCCATCCTCCCGCTTCCCGTAACAACCCCCCTTGACACCGTTGTCAACACCCCTTCGTCTCTCCCACGATCCCCAAGACAAAAATGACCGACTGGCCTCCGACTCGCCCATGGGCCAGCGGGCGTATTCTCACCCCCGCACAGCGTGAGCGAAAGAGGGCTGCCAACCGAGTCTCGCACCGCACCAAGAGATCTCAAGCCGAGGCCCGCACCGCCAGCCTCGAGTCGCAGATCGAGCTCCTCAAGGCCGAGATCGAGCTCCTGAGACGGCGAGAAACAGCTCCGGGATGCCCGTGTTCTCGTCAGAACAACGCCGACGCCAACTTCCTGGCGTTCGATCCCATTCCTCCCAGCTATCTTCCAACCTTGGACCCATGGCCTTCACTAAATATTGCGGGCGACGACTCCGGCGGCCTCCAGTCGCAGAATGCCCATGACAGTTATGGTGCGACCGGGTCATCAGAACCGCCTCAAAGTCTGGCGACGAGTTGCCAAGAGATTTTTAACCACATCGTTTCCCAGGCACGCCGCTTATCCAAGTTCCAAGTGTCGACAGACGATGCCCTGAACCAGGATGTGTTGGTTCGCGCCCTCGTCAATGGATGGTCCGACGTCTCGATGCGGTATGGCGGGACCAGTGTCTTCTGCCCGCTGTGGAATCTCGTCCGCTACCTTGACCGACGTGTCTTCTGCATGAGCGGCTTCCTTACACGGCTGTGCGCGCTGCGCATGATCCACGCCATGCTGCTGTGCTTTGTCGGAGCCAGCTCTTTCAAGGATCTGCCGGCGTGGTACAAGCCGCGCCCTTCACAGCATACCATTCGGCACGCCCTCGCAGTCGACGTGCTCCCGTGGCCAGGTGTGCGTGAGAGGGCGGTGTATTCCCAGGGTCTGACCCAAGACAACAAGTTCTGGACGGGCATGGTCCACCACTTTCGTTTCCACTGGCCGTACAGTCCAAGCGACGCTGTCGATTTCGACGCCAATGCCGGTCACTTTGCTCTGTCCGGCCTGTTTCTCAACCAAGTACACAATATCCACATGTGGAAGATGGACTTGAGCTTCTTCAACTTCTTCCCGGATCTGTACGACGACATCATGCCGTCCCTGTATGACATTGAGAGGCCGATTTCTTGCATCCTTCCAGCCGCCGCCACTAATCCAATTTTTGGCTTTACACCACAGATCCCTGTTGGGTCTGCCAACATTGACGTTGATCATATACCTGCACTACCGCTACCGGAGTCTTCAGGTGAAGTTGGGTCTGAGCTCGAGGAGAGGCACTCTCCGCTGGTGGCATGCGCACCCTTGTCGCTGCCTCAATAGGAGCCCGTCAAAGCTCTCTGTAGCATGTGTCGCATCTGACTCAATCATGGAGAGGAGTTTATGTCCTGTGGGAGATGATGGAACCCTGATGTAACAATACAATGGCCCCGATGTTGTGGCGCAGGTACAAACTGCGTGATCATGGTTTGACGCGGCGTCTTCCTCGGGCTGCAATTACGAGACGTTGATTGTTAGGACTGGATTAATTCTGGTGGTCGATGTCCACCTTTGTGCTCCGAAACAGAGTCATCGCCCTCAGCAAAAAAAAAAAAAAGAACTCAGGGTAAAATAAGCAAAGCAAGTCCAAGAGGAAAAGGGTACTGTCATGGTTGTCATGTCGTCGTGACATGGTTACATACATTCTGCCCCTCCTCTCCTTTAGCCATCATATCCCGATCATTCAAGTCGTACCACCTCCAAAACCCAAGAAACCTGAAACGTTTGCCTCCGCAAGATCACTACCATGGCCTCCGACAGTGGCTTGTTTTTGCCCCCGCTCGTCCGAGGACATTCTATCCTCGATCGCATTGTACCCCTTGGCATTGTGGGCGTCTGGTTGTCTGGCGCACTGTGGACCGCCAGCTCCGTTGCCCTCGGCAGAATGTGTAACTCCTCCAACTCGGTCACTGTCTCATCCAACGCGGTCCGCGTATCCTCGTATCCAGTCCGGCCAAGCTTGCTTGCTCACCTTCCTCATGCGGACCATGCACGGGAAGTTCCTCTCCAGCAAGTGGCACAGCTCCCTCCACCGCGCATTGTCCCAGGTGGACTGATCCAGCCCGAGGCGATCGCGCAACTCAACCCATTTGTCCTGCACTGCCGGTCTCTCCGACCGCTCGACGTGCGTGATCTTGGTGTCGACGAACCACGAATCTTGAGCGTTGGGGACGGCGATGATGCGCATCCATCTGTCTTCGGGCAGAAGATGCTGGACACTGGCAAGGCCAGTGATACCAGTGGCTCGCGCGACTTGAGTCGTCGGCATGGTTGGCGATTCGCAGCTTGGAAACAAAGTTTAGAGCAAAGGAAGAGGGAGAGATAGATAGAGGGTGAGTTAGTGTGTGAGAGAGAAAGCTGGAAGGAGAAACCTTGTGAGAAAATCTGGGGCGGAGAGAGCAATGGCAATAGGAAGGACCGGCATTTCAAAGGTTGATAGAAGAGGAAGTCGAAGAAAACGAGGTAGGAAGAGAAGCAAGAGAAGCAAGAGATGCAAGAGATGCAAGAGAAGCAAGAGAAGCAAGAGAAGCAAGAGAAGCAAGAGAAGCAAGAGAAGCAAGAGACGCTGGAATAGCAACCGGAGCGGGGAAGCGGGATGGATCGCGCAAGAGCTCTTCTAACTACCTAAATACCAGTCGTGTCTATTTCTACCGAGTGTCAATGAAGCACACGACATACCTTGTACCAGCACTTGGTTTCTCTGATTCGACCGCCCCGTATAAGCATGAATGATCCCCGGTCGATGCGCCGAATCATGCTCTCTATTCTATACCGCTCCTGAGACAAGACATGGAGATGCCACATTCCTATTTGCGCACCTTGGCTGTCGCTGGTGGGCCCGTGTTGTTGGCCACACCGCGCTTCCTCTCAATCTCCTCGATCCTCTCCTGCTCAGCCTTGTCCGCGAGTTCCTTCTTGCGCTTTTCGTCCCGTTCAACCTGATCGGGTCTCTTGATGGCAATATCCTTGGGTCGGAAATCGCTAAACAAGTACTTGAAGATTTGTTCCACAATCCAACATCCCACAAAGTCGGCGATCATCAGTGTTGTCAGTGACCACTTGAACTCGCTTGTGAACGGCACCAGGCGTAACTTCTCATTGAGCTCTGGCAAGAACTCGGTGCTTCCCGCAAACGCCACAAACGAACACGCCAGGAGTCCCCAGTACATACCTCGGTTCTCCCGGATGCTTTCTCGGAATGGGCGCCCTTGGTAGTTGATTGCAAAGGTGGACACCTGTTGGATGAGTTGCATGAGATAGACGGCACTGTTGAGTAGCGAAGGCTCGAACTCGCCCTCTAGGTCGATCTCCTCAGCCGGCGGGACGATCGAGTAGACCACGTTTGAAAGATAGATGAGTGTTGCGCAGTGGATTGCAAATTGTCCCAGCACTGATCCGAGGATATACGCATTCAAGATGTTCGGCTGAGGTCGTTCTCGCGACAAAGCTTCCACGGGTTTGGCCCGAGAGATGGAAAGAAAGCAAACCGACATCAACATCCCGCTGATTGTCACCTGACCATCGCCAAACTTGATGCCTGCCAGATAGATGACCGACAAACTGTATGCGCTGATCAAACAGTTAAGAGCTAGAATCTTGTACATCTGAATGGTCGCCACAAGCGTGCATCGTCCCTGCCGGATAATGTTGGGGATCGCTATAACGTTTGCCAGCTTGCTCGTAAACGGAGCGGCGACGGAGGCGTCTCCCAATTTGATCGTGGGTGGCTCGCCGTCGTCGAGTTCATTTTCCATCATGCTAGAGGTAAACTTGTCCGCCCAGCTTGCTGCTTTCTGTTGCGCCTCTTGCTGGCGTCGTTGTTGAGGTGTCAAATTGGCGTGCGACTGTTGGATCGCTTGCGCGCCAGGTGAGGTGATGGTTTCGACGGTGCCATTCTCCGCGTCGCCATTCTCCAGATTGATACCTTTCTGCTCGGCAATCCTCTTAATCGCCTTCTCATGATGGGGGTTGCGAGGACCAGGTGGATAAAGATGCGCAATCCCTGGTGGCACTGGCGGCGGTGGTTGATTGAATCTTTGCATCAGCTGCACTTGCTTTTCATAAATTTCCTTCATTTTGGTAGTTCGGAAATGTTCGCCGATTTTGTTGAGGGCTTCTTGAGAGCCATTGAGCAGAGCAACCCCAATGTGAGCTTGCTTCAGCGCACCCACGTCATTTGTTCCATCACCACACATTAAAGTGGTGTAGCCTTGATCTTTGAGTCCGATCAGGATTTCTTCCTTCTGCTTCGGCGACACTCGGGCATAAACCCAGGTATGCCTCAGCAACGACATAAATGCTTTCTGCCCACTGAATTTGGCAAGAGCATAGCCAGTAACGCACAGGTCCTTGGTTTCCAGAATCTTCGGATCCAGATCTGCTGTAGGATCGACAGGAATGATAGTTTTCTCATCAACACTGCGCCAAACAAGTTTGGTACCTGAATCATCGTGCTCTGGAGCATCCAGAATCAAACAGTCTCGGTCGACGATCTCGACTTCTCTGGCAACATGAACGGCAGTAAGCGGGTTGTCTCCAGTGATCATTACCACACGGTGGCTGCTTTCGTTCAGCATCTGGATTGCCCTGACCGCATCTTCCTTTAGAGGAGTCTGGAGCACCAAGAAACCCGCAAAATGCAGATCACACTCGACCTCTTCGCGTTTGAGATCGTTGATGCGTTTCTGGCCGATCTCAGCCTCAGTCGAAAGGTATTTGTAGCCGAGAGACAGAACCCGAGCACCATTCCGTGTGAAGTATTTGAAAGTCTCCTCATATTTGGACGGGGTCTCAACCAACATCTTCTGGATGGTTTCCGGAGCGCCTTTGACACCAACAAAGGTTCCCTTCGCCTTCCGTCCAGAATTGGGGTCGGTCATCAGCACCGTAGCCACCGAACTCATCCGCTTGAGAGCGGACGAGAATTGAAAACGACGTTTGATTTGGACTACTTGCGAGGCACCGGCTGTCGAGAATGGCTTTGCTTTCTTCGATTTGGGTGGAGGAGTGCTGGTCAAAGTGTCATTGTGGCCAAGAGTCCAGTTCAGAGCATTTAGCGTGGCCTTCTCCATGGGATCGCCAACGATGTCTCCTTCTTCAAGTTTGACCAAGGCGTGAGCGGTCGCCAAAACTAATGTGGTATGAATGCCACAGTCCGGGACTTTGGTAATTGCTGACTGCGCACCGTCTGGTTCTGTTTGGGCACTCTTCTTCCCCAAGCTCAGACCGGCAATACCGTCAACAACAAGATCTTCGCCGGTCAACGTCCCAGTCTTGTCGAAACAGGCGATATCCACGCGTCCGGCGAACGGGATCCGGAAGGGTTCTGTACAGAAGATGGCAAACTTGCTGAGCGCTGCCAGACTAGTATTGACCGCCAGGGATAACTCCATAGGCAACTCTGGCGGTACGACACTTGTCACAATTAGAATGCAGTCGAGGAGGAGCTTGGACCGTTTTCTGTTGTTTTTGACACCTTCTTGCCACACGTACCACGAGGCGGCAAGTGCAAAGATCAGCAAGAAGAGAATGAAGATCAATGCTTCAGCGTTGTTGGCAGAGACACGCTCCGTTGAGTAGATCATGGTTCGCACGAGACTACCTTGGCTCGTCTCAAATCCGGTCTTGAGCACCACAGCCATGGCACCGTTATCAGGCGGCGCAGGGACACCGGACCGCAACTGTGGAACAGTTTCCGGAGCATCCTCGCTAGCGGCAGGATGGGTGATCTGAAGGACTTTCGTGCCTCCCCAGAGAAAAGCGTTCTTGTCCAAACCCTCCGGTTCGATCGTTGCGTCTCCGGGACGAAGAAGGATTGACTCTTTGAGGAGCGGGGTACTTTCTCCAGAGAGCATAGCCTCATTCACAATGGCTGTTCCCTCAATAAGAATCATGTCACAGGCAACTCCGGAATCTTCTTGAGTCCGTCCCACGGATACGAGGTCGCCAGGTAACAGTTTGTCACTCTTGATCTCGACCCACTTGTTGACGCGGTACACCCAGATGTCGTACGGTTTGATGCTCATTCCTCGGAATTCGTTCAATGTTCGCTGTCTCTGCCAGACCACTGTACTTTCGAAAGCCACCAGCATGAACAAGGTAAACAAAGAGTAGTACCAGTAATCGTCGAGCAACCAAAGACCGACGCAGAATACCTGGAAGATGAAGAATGGTGCAACAGCGTGCTCCTTCCACAGTTCCGTGAATGTGGGGACAGGTATGTCAAAGGTATTATCGCCATAATGTTTGTGGGTTGTCTCGATTTCGGCTTCAGATGTGAGACCCCGCGACAGTTGGAACTCGCGAAGGAAGGGTTTTTTCTCAGCATCAAGCGCGTAAGATAATGGCGCGAATGTTCCCTTCTCTGGGGAATAGAGAAACCGTCTCTTTTGAAATAGGAACGATGTTCTTCCGTCCGGTTCCCTCTCCAATTTACAGATCGCTGATGCTCCCGAGTTGACCACGGGGATGACTTTAATCAATTGAGAGTCTTCAACCTTTGTGGCCTTGGTCATGGTAAATGCGGTCTTCAGGTGGACACTCCATTTTGTGGAGAGCCAGGTCAAAGACTGAAGGGTGACGATCGTCGCAGTGTAAACGAATGTCCATTCTGAACCATCAATGTAATCGTCGTAGAGGTCTTCGTTCAGGTAGAAAGCAAGGAAAATTGGCCATAAGATGGTGAATGGCCACACGTAGGCCTTGAGGAAGACTGGTAAGGGATTGTGAAGGCTTGCCGTCTGAATTTGATCATTGTCCACAAGTTTCGATCTGCAGTGCGTCAGAGACAGAGTTGCGACTGAATGGCTGAGCGTGATCTAGTACGTACGATTTTGGCGCCATGGCGAGCGTCAGTCAAGAGCTCGACTGTAAGGAAGAATATCGCAGAGAGACTGACTCCCTGGGAGTTGGCAGGGGGGAGACCTTGGACACAGTGTCCTCGAGAAAAACGTGGTCGCAGTCGAGAAAGATGCGACCTTTCGAAGGCAAGCCGGAGCCGGCCCTCATCCGCCGCCAGGGCGTGAGCGGCGACTGGAAATTGTTTGGCTTGTTTGCTGTGTTTGCTGCATTTCTTGGCACCTAAGAGTGATTCGGTCAACTCGGTCTAGGTTAAAGCTACTGGGTACTTTGGAGCTCAGGTGCGACTCCGAGCATCACGACACTGCCCGACATCACCATCTTCACGATCAAAGCCTCGTCGATCTTCCACCTCCACACCGCCAGAGCCTCTTTCCGACAGACACCCACTGTGCGATTGGTTAATGCAGGAAGCTAGCCGGCTGATTACCACCCTCACTTCAGCTATATTTTGAAATTCTAGAGGAAATAGAAGATTTATATGGCGCTTAGATCTTAGATGACCTTGTTACATAGATCTAACCCTAACTCTAGATAGGCTAGAAGAAAGAAATAGGTCTCTATCTATCTATTTACAATATAAGTATATGTATACAATATAAATAGTTGACCTTGACTATTTAAATAGTAAATAAAGCCCAAAAGTATTTCGATTATTTAAATAAAACCACACTGCTGATAAGAGCAGGCTGAGCCGCTCATGCTGAGGGAGACGAAGTTGAGCCTGGTCACATGATGCCTGAGTACAGCGGCAGACTATGGTTTCGATTGGGTGCCAAGGCCAGGCGCTTTGTCGCCGCCGAAGAGAGGAAATTTACCGGCACCCTTGAAAAACACATTCTTGGGGTCATACTGTTTCTTCAGTGCCAGAACCCTTTCAAAGTTGACGCCGAAGATGTCTTTGGCTGATGCAGAGGCAATGCCTGGGCCATAGAATCAGTACAAGGCACACAAAGACAGACTTGAACTGCGGTGGCACTCACCGTCGTAGTTCCCATATTGTCCAACACCATCTCCCGACCTCTTGGCCTGTTCTGCATCGGTCACTCTGCGAGCCGCATTCCGGGTCCATTCTCTACACGCGGCATCATTCAGTTCTCCAACCCATCTTACGCTGAAAAGAATGTTGTAGTGCTCGCCACGGTTGGCGAAGGACATGGCAGTCTGAGACACTTGGTTGACCACCTTTTGGGAAAAGAACTCGAATAAGATGATGGTCTTGATTGCATCGGGAATCTTGGCGATGAAGTCGAGATAATCGTCCAAGATCTGCTGCGCCAGGTCGGTCGACAATGGCACCGTGAATGCGGTTCCTTTTTGGGTCTTGCGGTCACCGTGAGTCGAGACCGTGTTGAGCATGGCATTGACCTCCTCATATGGCATCTCGCGTGTCTTGTCCACGATTGGTTTGAGATCGAACAATGGGGCATAGTATCGCACGGCTTCGTCCTTTGTGCCGTTGTAAAAGAGCACCGTCAGAACGGCAGGTTGGCGGGCCGGGGCTGGAGCCCCGATGCCAACCACCATTCCACTCTGACCTTCTGTCGTGGTTACCACGTGATTCGCGAACTCAACCACCTTTGCAAGGCTTGACGTTGGGAACACGAGCAAACCACCCCAGACTGCGTTCTCCTGCTTGTATCCGCGGAAAGTGAAGCTGGTAGCAACTCCGAAACTTTGACCGGCACCTCGCAACGCCCAGAACAAGTCAGAGTTCTCCTTCTCCGACGCCTGCAGGATGCGCCCATCGGCCAAGACAACTTTGGCTTCGAGCAGGTTGTCGATGGTCAAACCATACTTGCCGGTCAGCCATCCGTAACCGCCGCCAAGGGTCAGTCCACCGACTCCCGTGTGGTTCACGGTACCTCCAACGGTGGCGAGACCGTATTTGGCGGCGGCATGATCGACATCCTCCCAGACGGTGCCTCCCTGTGCCTTGATCGTCTGTCTCTCAGGGTCGACAGTCACCTGGCGCATCTTGGTCAGATCAACCACCAGACCCCCTTCTGTGGACGAAGACCCAGAAGTGGAATGCCCTCCACCCACAACAGCAACCTCAAGACCCTGGGCTTGGGCATACAGCAGAGCCTTAGAGACATCCTCCGCGCAAGTCGCTTGTACCACGACAGCCTGTGCACGAAACAATCAGTGTCAGTGCTGCCTTGTTCCCGGCGTGGGAGATGCCCTTCACTCACGGCTCGCTTCTCTGCTGCTTCTGACCATCGATGAAGAGATTCGTCATAGCCCTCAGAATCGGCCGTCAACACTTTCGAGGCCTTCAATGACGCTCTCAACTCTTCGACGGCCGGCGGTGCTGTCCCAACAGAACCCATGTCTGGCAATGTGTGTATGCTGCGTCTAGGCTGGATATGAGAATTTGATTTGACCTTGCGACCTTTGTCACCCGCCTCACATCTTTGCAGTTAAATCGACGTCCTTATACGGCTGACACTTTCTACCCTCTCTCCGACGCGATAGCCGTCGAGGTATGCTTGGGGAACGAAACTTGATGCTTGCTGGTTCATGCACACCTCGGCGGTCGAACAGCTAGGCGTAGAATGAGCTTCTGGCGAATACCGCCGACACGGTGTGGGTGTGATCGGACCCGGGGTTCATGTGGTGGCTTGCATAATCCCCACAAAGTTTCTGTCCCAAACACCTCTGAACCACTCAGAGTCCCTTGTTTCGAGGCTTTCTCCGCGAGTCGGGTAACGCACCCCGCAGCCGAAGCCTGGGGGCTCCTTGCTGGGGCACCCCTGGCCTTTCCATTTCCGTAGCCCGCTGGCCCACCTTTACTCGAAGCTGGAGCACGGCACCGCCTTTGCATCAGAACAAAGCCTGCGCAACTATAAGAACTTGGGACCCGGGATATCAAATATTGAGCACCGCACGTAGACTTAACCTGTACGGAGACTATCTTCACCGTGCCAATATGGCTCAGCCAAACGAGAAGACCAGTGACATTCACTATGAGGTAGCAGGCGCCCCCAACCTTGGCCACATTGAAAATCTGGAAAAGATTGACACACTTCACAACGACGAGGCTCTCATTGTCCTCGGCCAGTATCACGGTGACACAACTTGGTCACCGCAGGAAGAAAAGCGTCTCTTGAGGAAGATTGACAAACGATTGCTTCCCATCCTTGTGGTAACATTTGGAATGACGTTCTACGACAAGGTCCTGCTTGCTCACGCGGTAAGTCGATGGAATGTTCCCAACTCCACTTGGCCCTTCACAGTGATTGACAAGAAACGCCCAAGGCAATCTTCGGCTTGAGGACCGACCTCGAGCTCACCATTGGGAATCGCTATTCCTTCTCGGCGTCAATCTTCTACCTCGGTTACATTTGCGGCAGCTATCCAGCCGTTCTACTGGCACAACGATATCCCATCCACCGTGTGATCTTCTGCATCACGTTTGTATGGGGCCTCTGTGTGACTTCGGCGGCTAGCTGCGTTAGTTACAGAGGCCTTTACGCCCAGAGGTTCTTCTTAGGAGTACTTGAGTCCGGGATATCGCCGATTTGGATGATGGTTGTCGGTGGATGGTACAATAAAGCCGAGCAAACCCTACGCATGGGGTAGATTCATCCTCTGTGGTTATCTTTTGTTATTTGCTAACCTATTCGTCAGTGTGTGGTATTCGGCAGCTGCCATGATTTCGATGATTGCTCCCTTGATCAATTACGGCCTTGGACATATTAAAGGCGCACTAGCCCCGTGGCGCTATATGTTCATCGTAGCAGGTGTCATAACCTCACTCTGGGCATTTGTGATCCTCTTCGTGATGGAGTCGGACCCAGTCCACGCGAAAAGTCTCAACGAGAGAGAAAAGTTCATTGCAGTGTCTCGCCTCAGAGCAAACAATGCCGGCGTTCGAAATACCCACTTCAAATCCTCGCAGCTGTGGGAATTGCTTACGAGCACTCGCTTCTGGCTAATCGTCAGCATGAGTCTGACAATCAATGTGTCTAATGCTGTGCCAACAACCTTCAATCCAATCATCATCGCGTCCATGGGGTTCAGCGGCTTCAATGCGCTCCTACTCACCATTCCTGTTGGAGCTTCGGGCGTCATCTTCACCATCGGTACAGCCTGGCTCATGCAAAAATTCTCGCAAAAAAATTGGCGATCCTTCACCGTCTGTTTTGAGGTACTTGTGATTTTGTTGGTTTGCGTGTTGTTTTGGCGATGGCCAGAGATGCCCGTCGGTGGCAAGCTGGTCTTGATCTACCTTTTGTCTGTCTATCCTGCGGCATATGCGATTATGATGAATCTTGCTGTCGCAAACGCTGCCGGATACACCAAGAGAGCTTTAACCTCGTCTGGGATGTTCGTCGGATACTGCCTTGGTAAGTCTCCCTTGTTCTGCCGTTCACAAAGCCGTTCTTCTCCTCAGACACTAACGTGGTCTTGCCAGGAAATCTCATTGGACCGTTCACATTCCTCCAGACTGAGACACCGCTCTATCCAACTGGCTGGGCTGTTACCACAGCGATGAGTGCCGTATGTGCAGTACTTGCAGTGGTATATAGGTTTGTCTGCAGCACGGAGAACAACCGTCGTGACAAGGCGGGTACCACCGAGGCTTTCGAGCATGCTTATGAGGATGATTTGACCGACCGAATGAACAAGCAGTTCAGGTACATCTACTAAACCAGACGGGCCAGGCCCTGGCTTTGAGGAAACTTTCAAGTGCCACCTCAGGAAGCATGTGGTAGTTACAACTTACAATGCATGCCATCTCCGTCTTGTAAATATTCAAAATAGGTTGAGGTCTACAGTTCTGTCGGTGTCCTTCCACATCTCGAAAGGGACTTGGGACGTTTAATTTAATACTATCTATAATCATTGACAACCCAAACTATCCTATTCCCCGAATAACATGGGACCGCGCTTCTTCACCCTTTTTCGATAACAGTATATTCATTCAGATTTGGATGCAGATGCTTTGGCAAATACGATCGCAGTCAGATTGCCCTCTAGCACGAGAACTTCAATGCGAGGATCATGTTAGTTGCATTTTCCGTGGGAAGACCTCCGGTCTGTGGGATTTTCTCAGACGAGATTGAAAGTAGTGTGCTTCATCCCAACCCCTGGCGGATATGGCAGCAACCGTTCCCTGACCGATGGAATCAAGGCTTTGAATTCCTCTGTCTTCCACATGTCATAATGCTGCTGCCTGGAAGTCCAGCCCACGACAGCCACACAGAGATCTGCTTTCCCGCCAGGGCTCTCACTGGAAGCGACTTCGGGAAATGTGTCAGGCCTGCTCAAGCAGTAAAAGCCCGGCTGGACATCGGTGGCTACAGCTTGAGTGACGCATCGCTTCATCCGCTGGACAGCCGCCAAATCTGTCGCTCTCTCCTGTTCGGTGCTGTCACCCTTGAACGTCAATGTGGTGACATCGATACACGGGGTGGCCTGCAATCCTCCCACTTCCGATAAAGAGGGTTGCAGAACTGTCCTGATCTTGACAATCTCCGGAGATCTCTTCGTCAGGGACGTCAGGCCCTCGACATTCATCGTAGCATTGTCAATGGACCATTCTGTGTCGTGAGATCAACAGGTAGCTCTTTTCAGAGGACTGGTCTGATCACAAGTATGTACGTACCAGTGATCCATATCATGGCATTGATGTCCTCTTCGGTCCTGCCCCAACCCGACAATACATATCCATCTTGACCCTTCACAGCCTGGAACACTTTCAACAATTCCTGACCTCGCTCGTTGCTCGGATCTTCTGGTTTGACATCGTCCGACACCACAAAGAACACAAACTCGGTCGTTGCATGTTGCATTGTCATTACTGTCGTTGTGGTAGACTGTCGAGCTGTTCTCGTGGCCAGCGATGGCGGTAGTTCTAGTATCGAGACGCTGTGACAAAGAAAGTTTCCCCCGGTTGGTAACGATTTTTTTCTCAACGGGTTACACCTGGGCCGAGATTCTCAGCTCTGCAGACCAACGGGACTTCCGCGTGTCGTATCCATCAAACGTGTTGCTACGGCACCTAAACAGCAATTTCGCCCAACATTCCGAAGTGCGAAATCGGCTGCCGTCAAGTCCTGTGAGTGAAAACGTCTCGCCAGGTCACTACCGGGGTTTGTGACTAACCATTTAGTGTCTCCACATCACCGTGGATATTCACTTGCTTACAGACGCCATCGGTCAACCACGCGCCTGACCACTCGAGGAATCTGGGGAGAGTGGTACTTGCTCCGGACTCAGGTTTGGTGCCCTGCGCTCGGAGGTTCGGGTGGTGGTGGTAGTGGTGGTGGTGGTTGTCCGGCAGCACTAACACGTACCGTCAGCCAGCGTCGGAGAAATTTCCCTCAGCTTCATGGGTCTGGTTGTCTGGGTCATTTGATGAACTGCTGTCTAGCTCACTGTGCATGCATTTCTAGGGTTGGCGACGATTGATCTGTAGGTGGCTGTAATACGGCGATAGTACATCTATAGGTCCATCCAGCTCGAACCCAGCTATCTCTGCAGTGCCATTGCAAACAAACGGTCCCGGAAACACATGGCTGATCAGGTAGTGTACGTCGATCCCAGGGCCCCCCTCGGCCGTTCCTCACACCCACTGTGCACTTGTAGGTTGGCTAGGACTGACTCTTGTCAAAGCATCGTCACCGGTGCTGGAAATGGCATTGGATTGGCCATGGTCAAGCAGCTGCTGGCGTCTCAGAAGGTCTCTCACGTGGTAGCCGTGGACCTCAACGTGGAAAAGCTGGAGAAGTTGCGTCACGACCATGCACAGAAACTCTTCCTTGTGTCTGGAGACGTGTCGCAAAGTTCGACCAGTGCCCAAGCAGTCCAGACCGCACTCGACAAAGCCGGTCGGATCAACACCTTGATATTGAATGCGGCCATTGTGAAGCCCATTGGGCCCTTCCCGCAGCTCGCTCTTGCCGACTGGAAAAAGGCATTTGATGTGAACTTCTTTGCCTTGATCGATATGGTGCGTGGCGGTGGACCAAGTGTTCCTTCACCCCAAGTTGCTGATGTAGATCGGGCATTTTAGATCCAACATGCCTGGCCCTATTTGCTGAAAAGCGAAGGAAACATCCTCCTGACCTCGACCAGGGTGTGCCTGAAACCGACCGAATCGTGGACGTGTTATGCTTGCACAAAGTCAGTGTTGAATTACCTCTGCTCTTGTCTTCCCCTGGAAGAACCTCGCATCAAGGCGCTGGCCATTTCGCCTGGCGCCGTGGACACCGATTCCATGGCTGGGGCACGCAACGACGGTAAGAATCCTCCCGCATGCTCTGCCAACACTTGAAGTTACTGAGAAGTGGGGGGGGCAGCGAATTTGTCTCCAGCGATGCAGAAATTCCTCGGCGGGATACAGGCAGGTGGGAAATTGCTAAGGCCGGAACAGCCAGCTTCGGCGTTTGTCAAGATCGTCGAGACTGGGATCCCTCAAGAACTGACGGGAAGCACGATCAATTGGGACAAGGTTCCGGGTGCAATGCTATTGTAGAAGATCGCCGACAGGCTGCTCAGTGGATTTGAGCATCAGTGAAACCAGTGTGGCCGCCAGCGATGGACACACTTGGACACACTTATTGCTGTACCTAGGTTGGGCAAGTTGGGGTACATAAATTGGTACTGGGTACTCCATACCCAGTAGGCTATCCCAGCACCCGGGACCCCGCGGGCTGCGGGGCTCCAACCCCAAGTCGCCCTTGTCCCCCCTTGTCCCCCCCACGAATTGCGCCAAAGAAGGGCACTAGGCTACATGTACAGGGGGGGATCATGTACGGGCTGACACCCCCCCCCCTGGTCCACTAGCTTGTTACAAAACCTCTCATTCTCTACCACTTTGTATGCCCACCGTTGGCTGCGATGACAGCTTTACAGCGCTCTGGCATACTCTCTATATACTTAATAAAGTCCTGTTTATCTAATCTTTCCCATTCTTCTAGTAGATACTGTCGAACCTCAGCATCTGTCTTTGGAAAACGTCTCCCAATTCGATATTTAAGAAGCCGCCAGACATTCTCAATAGGATTCAAATCTGGCGAATGAGCAGGCCAAACCATTCGAATAACACCATAATATGTATGATATGCTCTTGTTAACTTTGCTGTATAAATAGAAGCATTGTCCTCCATTAGAATACCTCTCATAAATCCAACTGTTTGTTCGATCTCTCGAAGATGTTGATAAAAATGAGGTAGAACTCTTTGAGTATAAATCTGTGCTGAAACTTTACCCCAATCTTTATCCATCAATATAAGAGAACCTTTTGAAATCGTAGATATCGACGCGTATGCCATGGCTGCTGAAAAGCCAGAAAATTTTGGAACTAGACAGCTTGGATGATATTTCTCTTCAACTGTGCGCGTAACATAAACGTTTTGTTAGAGATCCTACTGGGGCCTAACTGGGTTAGGGTTCCTAGTAACAATCTGAATA